CACGACACCACTCCCGCACATTTTATATATATATATATATATATATATTTTTTTTTGATGAAATGTGTTAATAACCAATATAAATTATCTAGTTGCCAAACAAATAAACACTGTATATGAAATATTTATTTCTTACGTTTTTTTCTATTAAGTAATTTTAATGAAGATACACTAAATTTAAGTTTAATATTTTTTAGCACTAGAGGCCTTTCGAAAAATCATTAGTAGTGATATTTTTGTTATCAAAATAATATTTAAATAAACAGGAATTTAAAAGTTTCATGTTTTTGTTTGTGGAGATGTTTTTCATAGGAAATTAAATTCTTTTCATTTTTGAGTTAACCAAAAAAAAAAAAAAAAAGCTTGAAGAAGGGTTCTATAATTGTATTATATGCTTATTGACAATTATAAACATGGTTATCATATCTATCTGTTGATTGTCCAGTTCTACAACTAGAAATATGTCCATTTGTATGAAGTCTTATTAACACATTTCAAATCATATTGTTAAATGTCAACAGATAAGCAGTATTCAGAATATGCAAAAAAACTATATGAAGTTTTTAATAAATTGAAAGACTCTTTACATTTGATTTAAAGTCTTTTAATTAGAGAAGTTATAGAATCAACTATCAAAGAATTCTTACCTATATACCAGCAACATAAAACTAACTTTTACAATTGAGAAAAAGAATACAAGAAGTTTAAAAATCAACATCATAGGTATTTTATCAAATCTTTAGAAAAACATGAATATCTTTACTACAAACACAGCAGATTTACAAACCTTCTGAACATTTATCATGACTGTTTACAACAAGAACCTTTGTTTATTTTAAAAAAATTTAGAAGGAACAACTTCTATTTTATGTCACATGAAGTAGAAAATGCAATAAAAAAATTTAACCTACAGCGCCTCAAATCAGTATGTAAGATTTTTACAATAAGAAAAGATAATTTTCTTTCTTCATTATAAAATCTTGTGGATCAAGTGACAAATTTTATAATTAACAATGCGCCAAAGAAGAGCTTGAAGATAAATTGATATTTCGGTACAAGGAATGTAAAAAAGAAGATATTGATCGCATTGCTGAAAAATGGACAAAAAAATATGCATCCACTAAAATTGCATTTGAAAAAGATAGAAATAATCTAAATTCAAAAAGTTTGATAAAACACCATCAAGATGCTATTATCAATTGCTCAACTTCTATTGGATCAACTAGTATTGATACTGACCATAAACAAACATCAAATATAATAGCTTCAAAAAACTGGCTAAGCTAGGGTTGTCAACCCATTCACCAAATACCTGACAACATTTCAATTATCTCCTTATAAAAGGTCCTAAGTTTTGCCCTACAACCATAGGAAATTTTTTACACACTTGACTGATATAAAACAGTTCACAAGAAAATTAATACTAAAAGAAAAATTTCACAGAACACACACTGATACAAGCATAATTATAAAGAGTCAAATTATAAAATTAGAACAACTCTACCATTTTTAGAAAACTCCAATAAGCGATTTTTTGTCGGTTTTAAATTATCAGAGTGTGGCATGTCATATTGAAGCATAGCAGACGCAATCTTACTTTTTTCTTTTTTAGAAACGTCTTTATCCAACAAAGAAAGAGATAGAATCGTATAATCTAGTTACCAGGAATGTTTATAAAACGACTGTAATACTGCTTCAACTGCGTCTTGTTTGGCACAAACCTCTTTGTATAGATGCATTTTATGTATTTAATAAATATCTAGATGTGGTGCTTTGATAGCCTTATCAGATTGTAAATACTAATTTGCATAAAAACGTGCTATGATTTTTGCAATCAGACTTATTTCTTCTAAAAGTAGTGTATTTTTGTGAACAAGTTTAATTTGATTAGAAAGAATTTTAGATAATGTATGGCTTTTCCGAGGAACCTTGCATGGTGGACAGCTCCTGGTTTCCTAATTTTTACACCTTCAGAAGACAAATAAGCAACAACTAGCTCAGTTAGTTCTTTTCTACCGTCTCTTAAAATTTTTTCACTTTTAATATCTCTTTTGTTCTTTGTACAAATTTAGAGACTCAACTGTAGCACATTCAAAAACAGTTCTTTTTGCAGCCTTAGTATCATAATGAAAACTAGGAGTTTCAAATATGCCACAACATTACAAAAGTGAACAATCTTCAGCTCTGATATGTGGTGTCTACAAACAAAAAATAATAGATAGATATCTAGATTATTTGCTATTCTTCGTTCCTGTATTACTGGAAGTTGTATCAAAGCATAGCCTTCTGATGTTTCCTTTGGTTTCATATTCCTTAAGGAGATTCATCACACCTTTATGTTAATCCTAACCTGAGGAAAATGCTAGAGATGGTACTCTGAGAAAATAAACCTCACCATCAATATTTAAAAGAACTGCTAGTCTGTCGTTTTTGAGTCTCTTGCCTTTTTTAAATTCAAATAAGATTTTGCCATTGAGATTATATCATTATTTTGCCGTGT